CACGTCAAAAAACACCGTGTCTTCATTGTGTTTGTTTTCTTCAATCCCACGTTTACGTTCATATGCAAAGTCTTTACTTTGCGCTGCTCAACTCTTAGACTTGCATGTGTAGGGTATTGCTTGATTTGGTAGAATTGCTAAAACTTGCCTACAACTATAATTGGCAAAAGGATAAGTTTTTATTTTTTGATCCTATAGTCTCACACTACCTTCTCCCAATATCAACCATCATAGATTCAGGGGGAGAGGAAGTTCAAAGTCTAGGGTAGAATAATCCTTGAATTCTATTGCAAATATTTATTCGACTTTCTAGGGACATGTCTGCACTAAAGGAAGTATTTACTTAGTAATACTATCTCCTTTACATGTCATCCCAATCTTGGTACTCTTGATGTTCTTCCATTTCCTCCTGAAAAAATTCTCTTGTGTCGGTTGGAAAAGGCGTTAGGCGTCAGCGAGCGGTTGGCCTTCGCCTAGTGCCTAGGCGGTGCTTAAGCGCCCTAGGCACAGCCTAGGCGGTTATATAATTTTTACTGTCAAGCTATATATGTGGTTATTATATGTGTATTTTATTAATTCAGGGCATATAAGTATGTTAACTATCAGCTACTATGATTGGAATATGGCCCTTTTGGCATGTCAGTGCAATATGGCATGCTTTCTCGCTTGGGCAGACAATTTCTTACTTGCCTGCCTAGACTTTTGCTTATGCCCTAGGCAAGGCGTTTGGCCATTGCCTAGCTCCTAGGCGTGCCTAAGCGCCTCCTAGGCACTGCCTTTTCCGACATAGGTTATCTTACCTTGTTTTCTCAAACTTATTTCTTCGGTTAAAAATGATCAAGCACCTCAAGGTAAGTATATGCATCATAATCATGTGCATGATGATCTCTCGCTTCTTGGACATATTGTTTGCAAGAGAGATTCATGAACATGAATATGCTTCATTCACGTCTTTGCTCTGGTGCATATAGCTAAGATGCATGCAACACACCAGGTATCATCCATGTTGTGCATTTGCATTCCAAAAACAGTTACTCTTTAAAAGACTACACACTTGTAGGGGGAGTTTATGTATGTTACATGTCTCTCAAAACTTTCACGTATTAATTAATATACCCTTACTTAAAGCTTTGATGTATGTTGTCATCAATTACCAAAAAGGGGGGATTGAAAGCACATTTGCTCCCTTGGTGGTTTGGGTAATTCTCAACATACATGTTATTGGACTAACACTTTCATCTAGTATATTTGACGAAAGGTCAATATTGCCATGGCAAGGACATGTGATTGAGGATCCCTTGGAATGCTAAGGAAACACATTGGAAAAAGCTTTAAGACTCTATATTTTTGGTTAAGTGATCAAAGATCACATTGAGTCCATAGGAAAGCCAATACTATTTAAAAGGGGATGAGGTTTTAATCATGAGTCATTTGCTCAAAGTACTTGAAGATATTGCTCCAAAACCCTCAACCACTTTCCCACATTCCCAACTGTCCAAAACCCTAAGTCCAAACTCGGTCCCACAGAGATGCTCAAGACTGTGCCATAAGTCAAACCCTAGAAACTCGATATAACCGAGATGGCATTCGGTCCCACCAAAGTGGAGTGGCCAAGTTTCTGTACCCACTCGACTTCATTACAGAATCACTGAGATGAACCGATTGGAATTACCGAGATGAGGAATCTGCTTAGGCCATCACATATCGGTCTCAGCGAAACATCTAACGTTCGAATCTTTTGCATTGTTCAGTCCCACCAAGATTTACTTTTGGTGTCACCGAGTTGTGTATAAATTTTGTAACGGCTCGATCTTTGGTGATGGCTATATATACCCCTCCACCACCACTCACTCTCAGAGAGAGAAACCAGTACAAAACTACACTTCCCATATCCATTTTCTGAGAGAGAACCACCTACACTTGTTTTGAGATCAAGGCATTCCAATCCAACCATTTTAACATTGATTTCTAGCCTCCCCAAGTTGCTTTCCACTCCAATCCTTCTTCTACCCCAAGCCAAATATGTGAGAGAGTGATTGAGTGGTGTCTCCTAGATTGGTTAGGTGTCACTTGGGAGCCTTCAAAATCATGTGGAGTTGAACCAAGGAGTTTGTAAAGGCAAGGAGATCGCCTACTTCCTAAATATCTACTCCATGTGAGGCTAGTCCTTCGTGGGCGTAAGCCATGGTGGAATATACAAGGTTGTTTCTTCGTGCACCCTTCATGGGTGGAGCCCTCCATGGACTCGCGCAGCCTTACCCTCTGGGGGTTGTAGTCTCCATCAACATGGATTTACGATATCACCACCTATCGGAACCACACCAAAAATATCTGTGTCTTCATTGTGTTTGATCTTCCTATCTCTACTACCTTTACTTTCTTGCACTTGCATGTTGTTATCATTTCGCTACCTTATCTCTAGATATGCATGTGTAGGAAGTATTGGATGCAACTTAACTAGTGCTAAAATCTGCCTAATTATCAAGAAAACTAATAATTGCACCTTTGCCTTGTTAAGTGTCTATTTACCCCCCTCTATGCTCCACCTTCTCGATTTTACACAAGATGCTCATGAAGAATATGGGCATGCTTGCAAATACTGATTTCACCGATGTGAGTTTGTCTCCATATGACAGAAGTGTGGAGCAACTCAATAATCTTTTCTCAATTCTAGTGAGCATAGGCACAAAGTCTTGAGTTTTGAGCTTAGAGAAACAGAGTGGCATGCCTAAGTAGGTGATGGGGAGGTTTCTAATTTAGCATCCCAAGAGATCAGACAATATTTGCATTTTGCTGTCAGGAGTGCTGATTAAGATCATGATTGACTTGGAATAATTCACCTTTAAACCAGTATATGTAGCATAATGCGGGAGTAATTTCTTAATATGAGAAAGCTGAATTTCCCTGGCCGGGATGACAAGAATTGTGTCATCGGCATACTGGATCACAGGATAATCAGGGCAAGTTGCATGTTGCAGAGTACTTCCAATCATATTACTGTGCATTCCTTCATTGAACATTGATTGAAGAAGATCAACAACAAGGACAAATACAAGTGGTGAGAGTGGGTCTCCTTTTCTGACACCTTTTTGCAGAGGAATTGTTTGCCTGGAATGCCATTTAGAAGGGCAGAAGAGTAGCTTATGTTGTAAATCATCTTAATCCAGTTCAGCCATCTAGGCCCTTAGCTTGTAAGATCTCCATAATGGTATCATGGCTAAGCATATCAAATGCCTTCTCAAAATCCAATTTAAGAAACACAATTTCTTCATTTTTTTTGGTGACACTGATGGAGGTACTCAAATAACCAAGCAAAACAGTCTTGGATACATCTGTTGTTGAGGAATCCATACAGGTCGTCATGAACAAGGGAGAGTATAACCTTTTGCATTCTATTTGCAAGGAGTTTGGTAATAATCTTCATAGTGCAATTGAGCAATGAGATGGGTCTATAATCCCCGGGTGAACTAGCAACCTCTTTTTTGGGATCAAGGTAATGAATGAGTAGTTGATGCATTGCATATTAACCATGCCTTTATGAAAATTAGCAATAAGTTTGTAAAAATCAGGAGCAATGATATCCCAACAAGCCTTGAGAAAAGCAGCATTAAATCCATCTGGTCCTAGTGATTTATCACTAGGCATCTTTTTGACCACATCGTCACTTTCTCTTTTGGAAAACTCGGCTTCAAGTTCTTGCAAATTGTTGATAGGAGTAATCAAGTTATGCAACAAAGGGTTCTCTATAGCCTATGAAAGGCCCATTCTGTTCTTGAAAGCAGCAAATAGGATAGCAGGTTTGGTCATTGTGCTTATTCCCATGCGCATCCTTTAAAATGGTGATAAGATTATTCCTATGCTTGATGGTGGCTTTGGCTTGAAAAAATTTAGTGTTGGCCTCACCAAATTTGATGTTCATGATCGTGGCTCTTTGTTTCCAGTGGATTTTTTGCAAAGACAAATCTGTTCCAAATGGTATTTTAGGATAACTCTGGTACTATTTTCCTCGGATGTCAACTATCTAAATTCCTCAATAGGATCAAAGTAGAATCACAGAATTGGTGTTATCAATGATGTTGCTTAGGTCAGAGATGTTTCTGTCCCAGTTTTTTGATCCCTCTCTCAATCTTTTGAACTTAGCAACAATGTTTTTTGCATTATCATGTTCTGGAACCTGTTGCTCCCAAATTGTTTTTACAACATCTTTGAATTGGGGATGTTCAACCCAAAAAATTTCAAACCTAAAAATCTTAGACCTTGGAATCCAAGTACCAATTTTGATTACAACAGGTACATTATCAGATGTAGTTTTAGCAAGAGGCGACTCTAATTACTACTACGATAGAAATGGAGAAGTCTAAAATCTTTCTTAGGGCTCGTTTGAAGGGCTAACCATGAGTCCATGCCACAACACACGTGCAAGCAAATATAAGTGCAAAGACTGGAAAGTTGCAAAACGGGTCGAAACATGGAAGGGCTCTGCCATTCTATACCCACCCTCCACCAAGTAGGCTCATTTATCTTTTTCGTGAGTGCATTCTACTCCATCCTTCCCATAATGTGTCAAAACCCGTAATTATTATGGGACGAATGGAGTAGATTGTACGGGGATAGGATAGGAGATCCAAACCTGAAAATAAATCATGATTAGTCAGAGACGCGTTGAGAGTTAGGGGCCACGTGCACCGCAGTTCGTTTACCATTAAAAGCAGAATCTTGGCACGGCAGCCCGGGTTCAAATGTAGCAGTAAAAAGGTCCTCTGGTTCTGGGAGACCCACCCACTGATGTTATGTAGCAGCAGTGCTTTCACTGGAGCAAGCATCCAGACTCACCCCAGAGACAGAGACAGAGAGGGAGAGGCTGTGGCTGACTGGGTGTGGCTGGAGAGGAGAGGAGAGACATGAGCGGCGGAGCGGGAGCGGGGGCGGCGGCGGCGGCGGCGGTGAGCAGGTTCATCAAGTGCGTGGCCGTGGGCGACGGCGCCGTGGGCAAGACCTGCATGCTCATCTGCTACACCTGCAACAAGTTCCCCACCGTTGAGTACCACCACTCTCCCTCTCCCTTCTTGGCCTGGCTAGCTTGATCTGGTTTCATTTTGACGAAATGGCTGCTCCTGTTGATGCGGGGTTGGATGCAGGACTACATCCCCACCGTGTTCGACAACTTCAGCGCCAATGTCTCCGTGGACGGCAGCATCGTCAACCTCGGCCTCTGGGACACCGCAGGTCTCCCTCTCTTCTTCCTCCACTCCCCGTCCCCGATGTGGGTGCTTTTCTTCCTGTAATGGTGGTCCGTCTTGGGTTGCAGGTCAGGAGGATTACAGCCGGCTGAGGCCTCTGAGCTACAGGGGAGCCGATGTCTTCATCCTCTCCTTCTCCCTCACCAGCAGAGCAAGCTATGAGAATGTGCACAAGAAGGTACACTCACTCACATTGTGTTGCTCTTCTGAACAGGTGCATTGAGATTACTAACGGCCTGCCTTCAATTTGTTCCTGCGCAGTGGATGCCGGAGCTTCGCCGGTACGCCCCCGGCATTCCTGTACTACTTGTTGGAACCAAGTTGGGTATGCTCTTGAGCTTCTTCTACAGATTTTTAGTTGGATGCCATTCAAATCCACACATTTTGGTGTGCTATCCAGTAATGCATGTGTGTCTTTGGCTGCTCTTGAGCCATCAATTTCCGTATAAATGCGCAGATCTCCGAGAAGATAGAGCTTATCTTGCTGATCATGCAGCTGATTCCATCATAACAACTGAGCAGGTTTATGCCTTTTACACTCGGATGACAGCAACCAGCTTGGCATTTTGAAATGATACTAGTACCAAATTAACTTTCCACATGTTAGGGTGAGGAGCTTCGGAGACAAATAGGTGCGGTGGCATACATAGAATGCAGCTCCAAGACACAAAGAGTATGGCTTCTGCTGCATCCGAACAATAAAAGGCCCTGGGATTTCAAAGAGTTCTAGTACATATGTCTAAAAACATTCTTTCTTTTTTTCCCTTGATAATTGTTGACAGAACATTAAGGCTGTCTTTGACACCGCAATCAAGGCGGTTCTTCAACCTCAAAGGCACAAGGAGGTAGCCAAAAAGGAAATCCGGACTCGCTCTAGTCGGTCAGTAAGGTAGGGTTCAAGTTTATGCTATTTTCTCAAACCAATCACCGGTCGTTTTGAACAAAATTCTCGACATCTTGATTTCCATTCACGTCCCCGCTTCATTTTGTAGGCGGTACTTCTGCGGGAGTGTTTGCTTAGCATAGTCGAGAACAACATTGTGGAGTCTTTCCTCGACATGATGCTCAGATGGCGCGTGGTTGTTCTCGAAATGGGATAGACAGTGATGGTAGAAGCATCTCATTACTAGCAGCTAGACGGAACTCCTAGTTCTCTCGTGCACTGTGGTGTGGAGCACCTTGAATCCTTGATGATGTAAGATACAGTAGGTATCAAGTTTTGCCTCTGTAATAAGGCATGCTCGTGTGGATGATCAAATTTCAAACCTCCCACTACTTGGGCAGGCTAGAAAATCTCAGGGTAATATGCACAAACAAGATAATCTCGTTTGTCTAACAAGCTTTCTGCCTATTTTCCCTGCAAAAACAAAGTTTCTGCCTATTTTTACCATTTTGTTTAACAAATTTAAAAAGGCACTTCCGTGGCTATTTTTTCAACACCCAAAAACAAGTCCAGCACAACTTAGTCTTTCTAGTACAAAAAGTCAACCTAAATGAAGAGAAAAACACAACTGGAACAATAGTGGAAACAACCTCCTGACGCCTAGAGTAACTCTATTCAACAAAACGAACGTAAATCATATCCGGCAGAATCATCATCCTTCTCAGCGTGATATCCAAATCAGTGGTATGCATGCTTGAACAGAGTTAAATTTCACTCAAAAATATCTAATGAAATTATATTCAACAGAATCATCAGTATAACATGCCACCAACAGGACAAGCAACAACACAATTGTATGATTAATGAGTCACACAAAGTATAATCTTCTTAAATATTGGACTGAACCATCCTTCATGACTTAAGAGTAAAACTACGGCGGCAGTTGTTTACAACATCTTACAGCTATAACCATTCAGCCAACATTACCACTGACAACCCATCCTTTAGAAGTAAGTGACTGCAATTCGATAGTTTACAACATCTGGCAGCTAGATGTAATCTGCCGATATTACCACCACTAACCATCCTTTGCACCAGTCACAACATTTGTAAACAAAAATAATGTTAATCACACAATAGGCAAGCCCTAAAATCAAAAGCTTACTCACTTTCTCTTGACTAGACAACTAGATATGAGGATAGTTCATCCGCTTTCTCACGACCTCAGGAGGTATAATCTCTTCTTGGCCTATTACATTACATACATAAGCTGGAGGCTGCAATTTGAGAGCCCCTGGTAACTGCAATATTTCCATCCAGAAAAGGGAGCATACATATCTTACTAAGGAGCCTGCATGCAACATCAATGACTAAAGTAAGTGACCGTTCATTTCCACCACGGTGATCTTTTTACAAGGAAATAATGAGCTTACCTTACAAACAATAGAGCGTTTGACACCATAAACATGAAATGTATTATTCTAAATGTTTTGGAAATGTATGCACACCGCCGTCTGCTTCAAATGTCCGCCCTCATATACTCATTGTCATCACTAATTGTAGTAAAATCACATGGATTTCTGTTGGTCACACAGATATCCTGTCTTACCAACCTATCCAAGGGATTGGGATTGGCCATTCTCCCTTGATCTCTGGTCCAAGACTGAGCAGTACCATTCCTGACTGAAGAAAATCCTGGACTGGAACTAACAGAACTCAACCGCCGCGCATTCCATGCTGCTGAATACATCCCTGAGTTCAATGCCTCAACATTCCCCCTTCTGTTTATATCAATCGATGTTATCCCTTTGGACACCCCTATTTTGTAACCTGACTGTGTCCCACAGCTCTCTGACCAGTCTGCAATTTCCTTCTGCAGCAAGGAACTGAGCACACCAACTCTAGGAAGTGGACGTAACGGTCTGTGCAAATTTGGCTGGAGCGGATGACGTGATAAATCCTCTAGCGTCAATGGAATCCTTCCATTTAGGTTACTTCCATAGGATGTGCTACCTGATCCCATGCCATTTAGGTTACTTCCATACTGCGTGCTAGCTGATCCCATGCCATTTAGGTTACTTCCATACGGTGTGCTAGCTGATCCAATGTACTGATTGTGTGCTCCACACAATGAGCTAGTTGATCCCATGTAATGATTGTGTGCTTCGCACAATGTGCTAGCTGATCCTATGTACTGATTCTGTGCTCCATACGGTGTGCTAGCTGATCCGATGGACTGATCCTGTGCATAGTGTGAATTCCGAAGTTGAAATTCCATCTGGTTCCTGCTAGACCCTTCATAGTTGAAACTGGCTAACATTGGTGACTCGGTCAATCTCAGGGGATGAGTAGCAGGCATGATTTCTCTTGGATAAAAACCTGAATGTCCAACATTTCTTCCATCACACAGGTTACCAGCTTCCATGGTTGACACTGAACTTGGAAAACTTCTTGCCTGGACTGAGTTAACTGCTCTATTTGTATAGTGGTCAAGTGTCGAAATTACTGGCTGGCGAGTGGGATAATAACGATTAGCTCCCGCCACATCAGTATAAGTTAAATCAACCGTGTCAATGCTAGGTCTGAACTGAGCACAACCTGTTGTGGTTGATAAATCCCTTGGAAGTGCCTTGAAAGGTTCCCACATCGACTTCTTTGCTCCCATATGGCTCCAGCGCTCAGGTGTTGCTTCGGCAAGAGGCTGATCCTTGTCTGGTGATAATAGTGGCGAGGTTGCAGCAATAGTGACTAATTCTCCCATGCCCGAATGTGCCTGTGGTTCCTGGGTAGACATTACATGACCAGGAGTCTGTAATTTGAGAGCATGCGTATGAGTAGCGTGTGTGGTGGCTGCTACACGATTCTGCAATGCATTCTGGTAACTATCTGGTTCCAAAGGCCGCTTCTGCTGTGAAGTGGTGTCAATCACACTTGACACATAATTTGGACCATCCTCGGCAGCTATTATAGTACAATCTTCATCTTCCATTGTCTTGGATTGAGTATGACTAATATCAGCAGAATCAGTCTCAGTTATCAGTGGTCTCTTATCCTGACATCTTGCAAGCAGTTCAACAATATCCATTGGAATGTCATCTGTCATGGCATTTTTTTCGTGCATCACTTCTTGCTTTTTTTTATTTCTCTTCTTAGGTAGTTTCTGCTCAAAGGCAGTCACGTTCCGGATAACATGCTTACCTGGAGAAACCTGAGGAAACAAATGAGGCAAAACAGTTATTCTCTTACAATATTTAGCAGAGAAGCACTATAAATTTTTCATTGTGTTAACACTAATATTGCACAACAGAAAGTAAAATAATTAATACAGGATGTGAATTGAAGATGAGTAAATTTCATAT